AAAAAAAAAAAAAAAAAAAAAAAAGAAAGAGAAAGAAAGAAATCAGAATTTTAATTTCTTGAAATATTCAATTTTGCTCTTAACAGACTTTATGCAATGTCTTTGGTGAATATTATTCTCCTACTTTAAAATGTGAAGTCAGTATGGAAGAGAGAGAGAAGTCTGGTGTTTACACTTCCGAAAATCAAGAACCAGAATTCCAAAATTACAGATACAAAGTTGAAGGTAATAAAAATCCACACAATTGGACAATATTTAATTTTCTGAAATCAGTTGTTGATAAATTTTACTTTTAATCATGATTTACTCAGCCAAGCTGGGTTTGTCATTTTAATATCTTGTCCTCAGATTTATAAAATCTTATATTTAATATGCACTTTCAATTTTTGCAATAATTGTGTTATGAAGGTAATTGAAGCTGTATGTAAGTTTTCTTGTCTTCTGTTCCTCTATTACCACCTTTTTTTTCCTCCCTAAATCTTTCCTTCAACTTTCTATTGTACATCCTAATCTTAAAGTTACTGTAGTTTTTGAGTAAGTTTATGCCAATGGTATATCACTTTAAAATTGAATATGGAGAAAATTAAGAAGAGATATTAAGAAATTGCTTTATAATATAAATCTGGTATTATTTTAACAAATTATAACCTTAATTAATTCTTGTTATTCCTTCACAGATAAAAATGTTTCCTCCTCTTATCCATTTGTATGGATAAGGAAGAAAGTGTACAAATTAATGATTAACCAAAAAAAGAATGCATTGTAAATTGAAATTTTCAAGTTAGCTTTGTAGCAGGTGTTTCATACTCATATTTTCATTTCTGTTTACTACATATTTGAGTTTCGTTTCTAGCAATTTCCTAAAGTTATAAGTAGGTAAATAATATTTATTGAAAAATACGGACCTTGATTATGGAGTGAAATTATTGTAATTGCCTGTTTATCATCTAGACTTTCAAGAAAACATGCAAACGCTTCTCAGCAAGGTAGCAGAAGAATACAACAAACTCTTGGTACTCCAGACACGATTAAGCAAGGTCTGTGACATGAAAAGTATGCCATATGATACATGCATTTGTTGTGTATAACCTCTTTTGTAAGCTGCTTTATTGACCAAGCATTTCTAAATTCAATGAACATGAGAAAGATTAGGGAAAGTAATATGTATGTTTATACTAGGCCATTTACGTATAGAGAGAAAGGGACTGGGTCCCAGTATCTCCTTTAGGTCAAATCTGCAGTGATCTAGCTTCTCTCCATTATCCCTCACCTAAGATTCCTCCACCTTCTAAGAATGCCGTAGGCTAGGACTCAAGCCTTCCACACACTGGCCTTTGAGAGCATTCAGTATCCAAACTATAGCAGCTGGTTCTTTGTTCTCAGCTACAAAGTCTTATCTTTAATTGGATATCTCTACTTAAAAGTCCTTTAGGATTGTCTCAATCAACATATTACAATTTGACTGTACACAGTACTCAGGAGGCTGAGGTAAGAGGATTGTGAGTTTAAGGTCAGCCTGGGCTACCACACAGCAAGTTTAAAGCTAGTTTGGATTACATAAAAAATAAAATAAAATTTGAATTTATTAATTTACTAACTTCTTTCCCTTAAACCAGCTTCTCCTCCTATCTGTTTGAAGATTGATAGCTAACCAAAAATTTGAGGATCTTAAATAGTCTTCCCTGACCCCTAATTTTCCATCATACTGAAATATACTTCAAAGTGATTCCAAAAGGATTGAATGATAAACCTTGTTTTCATTCAGTTATCTACCCAGCAACTTCACTTACTAATTATATTTCAGGTTATACCATGAATAAATCAATATACAATAAAAATGAAGTCAGTAGACTGTCAAAGTCATATAATGATTTCACTTAACTAATTCAAGGAGTGTGATATGTTTATGAAATGCTTGCCCAATGCATCATTTACTGAGTATTTAAAAGAGAAATGTAGGTAAGTACTTTTAAAATTAAACAAGTAGATGAGTATATGCAGAAATAATGTGTTGGAATAAATGCAAAATGAACCACAAATGATGTGTTGGTTTGAATGAGAAGGTCGAGAACAACAGTAGTTCAGGTAGGAGAAGTGATATGATCAAAGTCTTGAAGTGGCAGTGTACTCTATTAGGACGTAATGCTGAAACAGTACTGGATCCTAAAGTTGAAGAGGATAGGCTACAACAACCTTTGACTTCTAGGCTGGACTTTTATCTTATAGATAATTAACACCTGTGATCCTAGGGTAAATATTATAAAGTGGAACTTTTACGGCTGGAAATTTAAATCAGTAGCACCATGCCTGCCTCCCAAGTGCAAGGTCCTGAGTTTGATCCCTGGTTACTGGGAAAAGAAAAAAAAAAAAGTTGAACTTTTAGGGAGATTAATCTGGTGACAGTAGGAAGTAGAAAAAAAGGAGGGATGGGGCTAGGGATTTTAGCTCAGTGGTGCCCTCGCCTGCCTTGCAAGTGCAAGATCCTGAATTTGATCCCCAGTACCAAAATAAAAAAAAGGAGGGATGAGTTATGAGCTAGTTTAGGGAAGAACCTAAAGAATTTTATAGTTGATATGGAGGAAGAAGAGAAAAGGCAAAAAAAAACTTTTTTATTCCTTCTGTTCACAAAACTTGGGCTTGCTGGGGGCTGCTCATCAAGACCGCTCCAGGTTGAGTAATTTTCTAGGACTCATAAGAGTTAACATTCAAACAAGTAGACAGCGCCATTGGTCCCTGCCACCCCAAGCCCCAGGCAGACAACCTGACACTGCAGGTACCCGTCCCTGGTATACTAGCTGAACTTTGATTGGACACTAAGGGATATAGATAGAGCTGACACCTGGGAACTGGTTCTGTTGGGCCAGTTGCATAGCCAGTGTTCATTCAGTACCTCAGACTACTTCTAGCCTCACTTTGAAAAGCCCAGGATACTGTCCTCATTATCTTTTGACAGGACTTTTGGTCAACAGAGATAAACCAGCTGATTGCTGATATCTGTCTAGTTTTGCAGATGTTCTTTCCAGTCAGCATTCAGTTGTATCCCGGTGAGTTTGCAGACAGTGACCCCAGAAACCTGCAGAAGAATGAAGCTTTGAAACTGGGATGAAGTAATGATGAGTGTCCTGACTACTTTGGTGATTATAGAGAGGCCAGGTTCTCCCACACCAAACAACATTGCTCGTAGAAGCTGCATTTTCTGTGGGAAAGGATTATGGTTCTTCAAGATTACACTAGCGTTATACTTTTCCTAGAATAGGAACATAACTTAACCCTAGACTTTTACCATGCCTTCAAAAGGATATGGAAATTGAAGCAACAAGAGTATTTAGAGGGCAGTGTTCTTTTACTGGGGACCTTAACTTCTAGTCACCATTTCTGTGGTGTTGCTGACAAGTACAAGGAAGCAACTTATAAAGATTAGCAGAAATCAGTGAGATTGAGACTTTAAAAAAAACCCACAAAGAATCAATTAATTAAAAAGCTGGCTCTTGGGCCAGGTGTTTAGTTCAGTGGCAATATACAGGCCTCACAAGCACAAGCTCCTGAGTAGTACCAAAAAAAAAAAAAAAAAAAATGGCTCGGAAAATAACAG